GGTTTTTGTCTCTGATACAAAATACAAATAAAATAACTGTTGTTGCATTTTCTCATTTGGTATTTTGCCATATTCGTATAAGAAACGTTTTAGGCCAAACATCCAACGGTGCAAAACCGTTCATATTTTGTTGGTTGAACCTTCCCCTGTTAGTGTTGACTGGGTGCATATATAATCAGTTTCTCACGCACAAGTCTGAAACAGCTTTCGTTATCCTCTGTAATTTAATAAAAAAAGCTTTCAATTTTTAAAGTCTTCATATTCACTTGACTCTTTGTTTCATATTTATCTTTATCAGAAAGAAAGAAGAAAAAGGAAAATAAAAGAATGGGTGTGCAGACGATTGATTTGTTGAAGGAGGAGCTTCCGGTGCACCAAGAATCTCTGCATCTCACCGGTGACACCAAGACCGGCCTTGTCCTCGTCGACGTCGTTAATGGCTTCTGCACCGTCGGTGCTGGCAATTTGGTAATTTCCCTTTTCCCCTTCTACACTGTTTTTCTCATGATCCAGTTTATGAAAAATAATAAGATTTTAGATTTATTAGCCTCTATAAATTCTTGGTTCATAGAAAGCTTTGAACTTTTTTTGTGGGGTTTATTATTTATATATGTGGGCATGTTATGCATATACAATAGGCACCAAGACAGCCTGATAAGCAAATCTCTGAAATGGTGGATGAATCAGTGAGACTTGCCAGAGTTTTCTGTGACAGAAAATGGCCTGTCTACGCGTTCCTTGATTCCCATCACCCTGACATTCCTGAGCACCCTTACCCTCCTCATTGTATTGTTGGAACTGAAGAATCAGAGCTAGTCCCAGGTGCCCTTTTTTTCCTTTTTTTCTCTTTTCATTCATTTCCCCCCCAATTATTGCAGCTGCTACTAAATATTTCTTGGCTTAATATACTTCAGGCATTTCGTTGTGTTTGTTGTTCTCTCTTAATTATATAATTATCTTCACAGCTCTGAAATGGTTGGAGAATGAAGGAAATGTGACCCTTCGGCGTAAAGATTGCATTGATGGATTTCTTGGTTCAGTTGAGGAAGATGGCTCTAATGTGTTTATCAATTGGGTTCAGAGTAATCAGATCAAAGCTGTACGCATTTCCTAAACCCCGAAATGTGTTCATCTACCTGTGATCGTGCTATTTCTATTTGATGTTGATTCATTTAGTTGGTGCCTACGGAATTCTGTTATTTCTGTCTAATTTTGTTATTTCTGTTCTCGTTTTTTGAAGATCTTGGTCGTAGGAATATGCACGGATATATGTGTGCTAGATTTTGTATGTACCACTTTGTCTGCTAGAAATCGTCGTCTCCTTGTCCCTCTGGAGGATGTGATTGTGTATTCCCGTGGTTGTGCCACTTTTGATGTTCCAGTTGATGTTGCCAAAACTGCCAAAGATGTTATAGCTCATCCCCAGGTACCTCCAATCAAATCTTTTTATCGTTAGTAGTTGTCTTGTTCTGATTTTTTTTCCTTTTCTTTTTCCCCTTTTGACATTGCATACCTTAACATTTGTCTTTAATAGCCACAATTATAACTAGTACTTTCAAAACAGAAGACTAAGA